AACCGCCGCGCGGCCTGGACCAGACAGCGATGTTCCCGGCGGAGTCCCGCTCCGCGCGCCGCTGCCCACGCCCCACCCACGCCCCTGCCTATTGGCCTCCCCAAGCTCCGCGGACCTAGCGCGCCACGCGATTGGCTGCCATGGCTGTCACTCATCCTGCGACTCCACCTCTCCTACCGGCACGGAGAGGTTGTTTCCCTTCGGCTAGCGGTGGGTACAGCCACCGGGAGGCTCCGGCCGGAAACTTCGACCCGGATGAGAGAGTTCCGGCACGCTTTGGCTTCCAGAGCTGTCCAGGGGCGCCTGGTGCTGAATCCCGCTCGGCTCGAGGCTCGGCCATTGGCGGGAACGATTTCCGGCGGGAGGGGGTCCCTTTCTGAGAGCCGTCGCTGCCCATGCCCTTCTCGTCGGCTTAAGACGCAGATCCTTCGGCTCGACATGTCTGCCTACTACGTTCCAGGACCTTTTCTGGGAGAGCATCTGTGGGCCAGAGATCTCCCCCTTTTGGAACATATATTCTGGGAAAAGACAGAAAATACCAGATAAACATAATAAGTCATGGAATTATGTCCGAAGCTCTGGAATAATAGAGCCCAGTAAGGGAGGTGGGTTTCTATTTTAAATAAGATGCTCTACTAGACCTTATTAGGAGGAGATATTTAAGCAAAAACTGGCACATGGCGAAGTTAGGCAAGTGGATATATGGCGGTAAAGCAGTGTGGCCAAGACACCGTCAGGTGGGGAAGTGTATTTGGAGATAAGGGGAGGCCTGAGCAGGCACCGAATGGGCTTTGAGGGAAATGGGGAGCCACTGCAGAGTTTTGATCAGAAACGTGACAGATCCAATGTATTTTCACAGAATCGTTTGGTGGTTGTGTCAATGCTGTTGACAGGTCAAGGAAGATGAAGACTGACAGTTGATTATTGATATTTTTAGATGGGCAGAAGGGAACATTGAAAAAAAATAGCTTTCTCTACAGCCCCATAAAAGCAACCAGACATATGAAGGAGAAGACTCTATTCATTTGTCAACTCAAATTTTACTGTTAGCCTACCATGAGCCAGGCATGGGGAGAGACGCTAAGAGTAATGTGGGGAATGCTACAATGTGGATGGACCTCGAGGACATTACACTCACTGACATAGACAGACACAGAAGGATACAACATGTCCTGTGTGATTCCACTCACAGGAGCTCCCCAGAGGAGTCAGATTAGCAAAGACAGAGAGTAGATGGTGGAGCCAGGGGCTGGGGGAGGGGAGAGTGGGTGTGTAATGGGGACAGAGTGTCTATTTGGGAACATGAGAAAGCTCTGGAGGTGGACAGTGGGGACAGTGGTATGACATTTTAAATGTGCTTAATGCCACTGAGCCGTGCCCTTAAAAACGGTTAAAATAGTAAATTTAATGCCATCATTTCACCATGATTAAAAAATTTTTTAGTACAACAGAGTGAAAAAACAAAGTCCACGCCCTCACGTTTCACAGTCTAGGGGAGACATACGTATTAATGAAATAATACACTGCAGGAAGAGGACTTCTAAGATGATTTCAGATGACACCATGCCCTGGCGTGGCTCCCTCTCCTTGAGCGTGGGCTGCACCTGGTGACTTAATTCTAACCAACGGAATATGGCAAAGTAATAAGATGTCATTTCTGTCTCGCTAGCATGACTCTCCCTATTGCTTTTTCAACTTGCACGCTCAGATGAAGCCAGTTAAGATGTCAGAGAGGCCCATGTGGCAAATAACTGAGGGTGACCTCCCACCCACAGTCAACAAGGGACTGAGACCTTTGGTATATTGAGCCGTAGGAACTGAGTACTGCCAACGACACCATGACTGATTTTGGGAGGGGATCCTTCCCCCGTTGGGCCTTCAGCGGACACCTGGATTGCAGCCTCCGAGAGCCCCTGAATCTGAGGCCCCAGCCGAGTGCACCTGGATTCCCGACCCACAGAAACCGTGAGATAATAAATGTCATTGTTGCAAGCCACTTGCTTCTGCAGTCATTTATTATGCAGCAGAAGATAAGTAATATACATACATCAAGAAAAAACTACAGATTGTACTAAGTGCTATGTGCAGAAAAAAAAGAGAAAAAAAGGGTCAGTTTGCGAATTAATGAAGTAAAGAGTGGCGAGAAGTAGGAGGCAGAGAGGGTATTTGATGCAACAGTGGAAAATAGTTTGCTGGGATTGAGGACCTGGAAAGCGAGGCCGGCTGAAGGTCAGTGAGCAACACGGAGATGAGAGATTAGGGGCGGCCGAATGGAACATGTTAAGGAATTCGGATCTTCCCGGAAATGCAAGGTGATTCGTTGAAGGGTGTTAAGTAGGCGAAGGCTATGATCCTATTTTTGTCTTAATGTTCTTCTGACTCCTGCGTAAAGAAAGACTGGATTGTAAGGGAGCAAGCGTGGAAGCAGGGAGACCAGCGAAGAGTCATTTGGGCGAGAACCGAAGCTAGTTTACGTGAGGGCATTTGCAGGGGTGATGGAGGGGGCGGTTGAATTGGAGAAATACCTTGCGGGGCGAATTGACAGGACTTGGCGCTGGTTCGTCTGGGTGGGTTGCAGGAGGGGGAGGTGTCGGGGCGTTCACGAAAATAGGAGGCACTGGAGGAGGCACAGAGGTGGAGGTGTCAAGAGACCGAGTTTGGTTTTGCGGAGGTTAAGTATGAGATGTTCATGATTTTCCGCCTGCTTCGTGACAAGCACACAATAGGTGGAAGCTTTTTGTTGTAGTTAGACACAAAGTGACTTGACTTTTTCTTTTGGTTTCCATAATTCACGACAACGACTAAAGTGATCACTTGTAATAATAGCACACCAGGTAGATGCTCACAGGATGACCCCTCCCTACAGAAGAATCTGTCCACGTGAGTGAGCAGAGTGAGGCTGCTCGGAGCTGCATGAGCTTCAGGCTTTTGTTCGTTCGAGACATATTTGCGAAAGTGTCTTGGCTGCCAGGACTCACACGTGGGCAGGTGCGACAGGAAAACACTGACAAATTTGACCGCATTGGCTGTCTCAAAACTCTTCCATGGTGAAAGACACAACGGATGGGCTCAAGAGATAAGTGACAGACCGGAAGGCGACGTCGATGATAGACACGGAGCACTCGTTAGAGAACGAACACCCTAAAGTAAAAATGGGAAAGGAGGTGAAGAGACGATTCACGGGAGAACGGAACGATGCTCAGTCATGGAAATACAACCAAACCATCGGCAGCTTTGTCAAGGCACAATCGTAACACGGAGCGCTCATTAGAGAACGAACACCCTAAAGTAAAAATGAGAAAGGAGGTGAAGAGACGATTCACGGGAGAACGAAACGATGCTCAGTCATGGAAATACAAAACCAAACCATCGGCAGCTTTGTCAAGGCACAATCGACATACGATAAACGACACACATTTACCGTATGCCATTTGATAAGTGCTGACATACGTATATACCCGTGAAACCATCCTCACAATCAAGATAGTGCAGTAACCTGCACCCCTAAATTCTCCTCCCGCCCCCCTTCCCACCCCTGACTCCCAGGCAGCCACCTTTCAGCCAGGGGTGCTCACTTGCGTGGTTTCCCATGTAGGCGACTCTCACCGCTCTGAACGTGGCCGTGCCTGCCCGTGGGTGGCCTTTGGCGTGGTGCTGCTGGGCGTGCATCCACGGCGCTGGCGTCCAGGCGTCTAGCACGCGCGGCCGCTCAGTTGTGGAACTTGTCGCGTGGCTGTCTTTTCTCCCGTAGGTGCAGAAAAGAGTTAACACAGCCAGCCGCCTGACGTCCAGTCTCAAGAGGGCCAGCTGGCAAGGCTGGCCCCCAATGGCAGCTGGAATGGGGCTCTGGGGGCACCCGCCGCCCCCACCCGCCAACAGCCTCCAGCCCTAAACACTGCAAACAGGTGGGTCACACCGAGCGCCATTATCCCCTAGGGTCTGGGGTCTTGGACAAGCTGGGCAGAGGCGCCCACGTGACTGGCCCCTAGTGGGACCCCAGGAGCTGGGTCTCTGTGAGGCCCCCGGGGACCGCACCTCACAGTGTGTCACATCTTGTCCATGGGGAACAAAGCTCATCCCGGTGACCCCACCAAGAGAGGACTCTGGGAGCTTGTGCCTGGGCCCCCGGTCAGCCCAGTGTCCTTTCCCTCGGCTCATTTCACTCTGACCTGTCTCTGCACCGACCACGGCCGAGGGGGCCACCGCTGCTGAGTCCTGGAGCATTTTTGTAAAGAACAGCACTGGCTTATGTCTCTGCTTTAGCCGTTCTGGTGCAGTCGGCTCACGTTGTGGTTTTAATCAGCGTTCCCCTGACGTTCACTGAAATCGAGCCCCTTTTGTTTGCTCACGGCCAACTGCATATCCTGTGTTTTCAAATGCCTAAGTGTTCTTTTGCTCATTTAAAAAGTTAAATTATTTCCCCTTTTCTCATTGATTTGTAGGAGTGATTTACATTTTTGTCAAATACATATTGCAAAATGCCTTCATGTACTCAATGGCTCACCTTTCCCTCTCTTTTAATGCAGTCCAATTTGTTGATGTAAGAAAAGAATTATGGTTAGAGCTTGTATTAGTCAGGGTCTCTAGAGAAACAGAACCAATAGGGGAGATGAATACATTTATTCTAAGGAACCGGCTCACACGATCGTGGGACCTGGCAGGGCGGGCTGGCAGGCTGGAGACCTGGGGAAGAGCCGATTTGGCATCTTGAGTCCCGGGGTCATCTGGAGGCAGAACTCTGTCTCTTTGCCGGGACCTGTCTTTTCTCTTAAGGCCTTCAACTGATTAGATGCGGCCCACCCACACTATAGCAACTGATCTGCTCTTCTCAAAGTCCACTGATTTAAATGTTAATCTCATCTGAAAAACACTCCCCAGTGACAGCTAGACTGGCATTTGACCACATACCTGGGTGTCGTGGCCCAGCCACATAGGCAGGCCGAATTGACCCTCACTGTGCTTTCTGCGTTCTTCAAGGAAATGTTGCCTACCCCAAACCATGTTCTATATATATTCTTCCACTGTCTTTATGGTTTTACCTTTCACAGATCCCATTCGTATACATTTCAAATGCAGGCAAAACTAACCCATGGCATCGAAGACTGGGGCAGCGTCACCCTTTGGGGTGGTAATGAGCAGAGGGGGCATGACAGGGGGCTGGTTGGGTCCCGTTCCCAGTATGAGTGCCAATGATATGGCGTGTTCCCTTAGTGAGAATTCGTCGAGCTGTTGGCTATTAATATGTGCACTTTTGTGAATGTATATTGCACTTCGATAGGTTTAAGCAGCACAATAAGCAAGAGAGAATACAGAACGGAACGGACTCACCGAGTCTACCCGACCTCACAAAGACCTGGGAACAGCCTTGAGCTGAGCAGAATTGGTGGCTGGCCATGTCCATCCTCACTGCTGAAAGGACCCATGTGATGGGACCCCAGACCGCATCGGGCAGCTCAGGATGGGGCCGCCTCGCACACAGGGCCAGGCGGGACATCCCTGCTCGGGAAGGCTCACACTTGAGAACCAGCTCTGAAAGCACAACGCTGGTCTCTAGAACCGGGGCGCTCTCCAAGCTCACACTCGGACAATCTCGTGTTACATAGATGCAGCCTCCACCTTTCTGGCCCTATGCTATGCGTCCCGCCTGGATGGAGGTGGCCGGGAGGCTGTGAAGCTGGCGCGCCACCTGGTGGCCCCGGTTTCTCGTCTTCGAAGGCCACTTCAGGAGCGCTTGGCCTTTGCTCCACCTTTGAAATCATTGATTTTGCAAAAGCAGGGAGCAGGGTGGAGTGGGGAAGCCAACTCGGTTTTTGGTTTTCAAGTTACCCAGGTTCGGGTGCAAGGATACAGGGGCACGCTAGAGCCAGTGAACAAATTTGTTTTTTGCTGGTGGCAAAACAATTAGGCACATTTCTTTGACACATTCATCCAGGGCCGTGTGTTGGTGATGCCGCGGGGTGGGGCCCTCGGTCTGGCACTGCTGACGTCAGGGCTGTGTCAGTCTCTGTGGGGGACCGTCCTATGCACTTTGGGGGCTGGATGCCAGGAGCATCCTGGTGTGACAACTGCAGATGTCTCCAGGCCTGGTCATTACCTGTCCAAAGACATCGCACGGTGTCTGCTGGGGAGCAAAGTGGCCTCCGGTTGAGACCCTGCTTCCAGGAAAGAGACGCTGTTTTCTCTCGTTAATATGAGTGGGGCGTGCCATCGACCCCCGGAGTCACACGCAAAGCGGGTAGAGATGGAGACACGGCCCCCAGGATGGCCTCAGGGCCAGCCGTGGCCTTGCTGCTCGGACTCGACCCGCTGCTGGAAGCTCCATCCTAGTCATGACTTATCCTAGATCCATGTTTCATCACCGCTTTTTTTTTGTTGTTCGATGTACCACTGACAGGAATATTCAGATAGATCCTATTTCTAACCCGTGTGGGATGGAGCAGTAATTATCGTGACACAGTTCTCAAGTCAGAGAAGCCACTGGCTTCTGGAGTGATGGTGACAGTTCCTTTGTTTTTCTCCTTCCCACTCTGTTAATGGTTCCAAACTGGAAAGTTTCTGGATCTTTCCTCAACAGTCAGGCTGAGTTTGGGGCAAATTTGTTAAGAGGCTGTGCGGGGGGCCTCCCAGCGGAGAACCACAGGAACGCAGGGAGGGATGGCGATCGTCCACGGGGGCCTGAGACACGATGTGTGGCTCTTTTCCAAGTGGTCCCCGAAGCGGGGTCTCCAAGCAGGTGGTGGTGTGGGGCACCTGGGTGGCCATCTAAGATGCAGAACCCGCAGGGGGCTGGCTGAGTGACTCCAGAACGAGAGCCCCGACCAGCGGCCCTTGAACCCTGGCAGGGCAGAATTGCCTGAGGTTTGGGGAAAACACAGGTGACTTTCTGATCCGGGGCTGGGGCTGGGGCTGGGAGGCCAAGAATTTGCATTTCCACTGAGCCTCCGAGGCTGGTGTTGCTGGGCTGGGGGGCCACACGCTGATGGCCACTGTCCCTAACGCAGGGGACCCCTGTCGGCACCACGCACATCAGGGCAGGCTGTTCTCTGGGGGCGTCCTGGGCGCTGTGGGGCTGAGCGGCACCCTGGCCACACCCCCTCTGTGAGGAGCACCCGAGTGACAACCACAGACGTCCCCACTGTCCATCGTCCCCCAGGGGATCTTGGTAAAGGCCCTGTGAGACAGGCACAGGCCTCACCTTGCCCCTCCCTCATCCATTTAGACTGCTTCCTGGGGCAGCAGGTGTCTGCCAGTATTTTGTGACTTTCTGGGGGACAGATAATGACCGGGCCTGGATATTTAGCTTCTCCTTTGGGGAGGGGGCCGGTGGTGCTCATATGGAGGTGGGGGCCTCAGGCAGCCCCTCCTGGCACAGCATGGGCAGCGATGGGTCAGGCTGCGCCAGGCCTGATGCTCACGGGCCAGGGCCTCAGGAGGCACCGAAGCTGATGTCCTCCGCCTGCAACTGGGCCTGCTGGGGGTCACCATGGGTGCTGCAAAGGGGTACGGTGCCCACTTAAGGTTTACGCAGCGTCCACGGCACCTTCCACGACCACGAGGCCCACCCGCGGCCAAGGACCGGCGCGACCTGCCTGAAGCTTCCTGGGCTCCTTCCTACCTGGGACGTCCCTCCCTGTGCGGGTACAGGGGGGCCTTGGGTTAGGGATGGAGAACTTACTGCTGGCAGAACACCGTAGGCAAGTGACGTGCAACGGCCTGCGGCTCTGCCCCCAAGGACCTAGGAGCCTAGCTCAAGCCCTGGGCTTGTGCTTCACGTGGAGGTGACTGGGGTCAAAGGTGAGGAAAGGAAGGAATGTGGGACAGCCATGTGTGACTCCTGGCACAGGAAGTGCTTATAGTCATGTCACATGGGGCAGCGGTGTCCTGGCAACCTGGACACTCCAGGCTGGAAACCTGGGGTCAGGGGTGGCGCCGAGGTCAATGCAGAGCCGGGCAGAGGTCACAACGTCTATTTATTTCCCACACGTTACGCTTGTCACCATGGCTAGCATTCAAGGGTTAGGGCCACCTTGCAGGCCGAGTAAAAACTGCTGGTGGCTGGTGGTGGCCCTTCTTCCTACTAGTTTCCTATAACACACACGGCACAGGCGACCTCGCAGACCACCAGGGAGCCTCCAACACTGCTGCTGGCACAGGGGGGCCAGCAGGTCCCCCAACTCCCCGCCCAAGCAGGGGCTGCGGGACGGCCATGGTGGCCTCGAGTCCTGGGCAGGCTGCCCAGCCCGACTGCGTTTGCCCTCCTAGGAGGACGCCTGGCAATCATGGGCCGAGGTGGGTGACACCAGGGCCCCGAGCACCGGGCGGGACACACAGACAGGCTAGGACGGTGGGGATGGCTCGGGGCCAGGCCCAAACCAAGGTCATGAGCACGCCCCTTGCGGTCTGCTGGGCAAGTGCTGGGGAGAGAGGCCTGAAGGGGTGAAACGTAAATCTGTCAAAACGTCAATGAGAAGAGGTCCCCAGCTGTCCCCACGGCCTGGGAAACAAGGGTCTTCCAGGAGTCTGCAGCCAGAGTCCCCTCACGTAAGAACTGGTGGTCCAAAGGCCCGGGGGATGCTGGTGCTCAGACTGGGGCTGGCAGTGAGCTTGTCCCAGCAGGGTGTGGCCGGGTGGCCAAGGCCGACTCAGAAAGCAGCTTCTCCTGCGCTGGGGGGCCCCCTGCAGACAGACCGAGGCGCGGGGGGGCCTGTAGGAAGAGGGGATATGACGCGGCTGGACATACAACTGGCCGCTGCTTGGGAGAGTGGCCTGAGGCCCATCTCCACCCCAGAACATTCTAGAAAATACTTTAGTGGCTGGGTTTCCGGGGGCTGGGGGAGATCGGTGCTGGTCCGTGTTCACAGCTTGCTGGCTCTGTTCTGAGAAGGTCTGGGGCCGTGAGGGCATACAAAAAGGGAAGGGGGGGGGGCGGAGGATAAAATAAAAATCGTAGAAATCCGTCTGAACATGCAGGTCCAATTCTTTTTCTTTTTCTCTCTCGGGCAGTCCAACGGGAGCAAACGGCAGGATGCACGGAGGCCTCTGACTGGCTGGGAAGGGCCCGATGCCACTGCGACGGCTGGAGGGACGAGACATGGGGCCGTCGGTCGGGTGGCGCCCGGGCTCCAGGGGACATGGCCGCCACTGCTGAAACCCAAGTCCCCCCACTTCCGCGTGGCTGGCGGTGGCCGGGCTGGTGTGGAAACAGCACGGGCACCGTCACAGGTAGTTCTGGGCCCAGACGTGACTATGTCAGGGACGGTACTTTGGGGATGAGGTTCCAACCAATAACGGGCACAAACTTGGCCTCGGCTATGTTTTTTTGTCTTAAAATTAAGGCCAAAAAGAAAAACAAGAAAACATGACCCAAATATTAATGTTAGTTGCTCAGGATGGAAAGATTGAAGTTCTTTTATCTGCCTTTTTACTTCTTTTTCCCACTTTTCTATAAAAAATCACATTGAGAACGATGATAACTTAGAAGTGACACCAAATCCAAGATGCAAAGGTCTCGGGCAGGAAGGTGCCTGCAGCCTGCACCCAGGGAGCGGGGTCACTGGGGTCAGACGAGGCGGAGGCCGGCCAGGCGGTAACTGAGCTGGCGAGGTGAGGGGGGACCCCCAGGACGCCCCAGCGCATCGCTAAGCAACCGCACATGTAACATCTGCTCACAGCAAAACCGAACCAACCCCCACGGAGCTGGGCAGAACGCCAGGTGCCGCCTGCTCTCCCACCATGGGCGACCTCGCCCCACACACGCGCAGAAAAGGGCTCTGCCGTCGCCGTCCCACACACTCGTCGCCTGTGGTCGCTCAGGCACCAGCCTAAACCCAGGGAGCGGGGTTTCGCCCTTTGCCCTCCATGGAGTCAGAGCGGGTTGTGCTGGAAATACCTAGGAGGGGGTCCAAGGGCCCGGACACCCCCCCACAGGGCTGCAGGGATTCAGGGACACCCTCCCGACTTTGAAGACCCAGGCAGCTTGGCGGTCTGCGGGGACTCACGTGGGCGGTCACTCTTGCTGGTCGTCGTTGCTGGCACTGGGCGTCCGACTTCGGATCTGACTTCGAAGCTGCTCAATCAGCTCTGGGTTCTGCTGCTGCATCTGCTGAGCGAACTGCTGGCCCCTGTTGGGGGCGCCCGACTCAGTGGGGCAGGGCCCGCACCCACCGCCCTCCGCCCAGGCGTCCGTGGGGGCCTCCCATGGGTGCCCCGTGAGGGCGGAGTGGCCAGTGGAAGACATGGGGCCTACGGGGCGCCTGGGACACAGTGACACTTCCCTTCCCCTGTCCGCCCAGGCCCCGCAAAGCAGGTCTACTCACGCCTGGATGAGACTGGCCAGGTCGTTCTGCGAGGGGTTGGTGCCAGGAGTCCCCAGGGGGTTGTGGCCACCGGAAATCATCCCAGACATGCTGCAGGGAACGCCCGTGACTTGCACTGGACAGCCCAGTGTCCCTGGGCCCCACCAGCCCTCACCTCCGCTAGCGCAAGACACTCTGTCACCAAGGGCTCACCCGCACCTCGGTCCACTGCACCCCGATGGACCCACTTTCCCAGACACCGTCTTTTGTGTGAAACAGTGACTCATTCTTAATGGGGCAATTCTGGCCCCCAAATGACACTGGGAAAGCCTGTGACACAAAAGGCCACACAGCGTATGACCCCATTTACGTAAGATGGCCAAAACAAGTACGCCCCGGGAACAGTGGGAGAGGGTTGTCAGGTGTGGGAAGGAGATCACTACAATGAAGACAGGGCTCTTTCAGGGGCGATGGAATGTTCTGGAACTAGGTGGTGGTGCTGCATGACACTGTGAAAGCTCAGGGCTGCTGAGTTGCAACCGAAACGGTGACAATGGTAAAGATTACACGGCAAAGAGACACAAGCACGAGACCCAGGGACGAGGCTGCCACTTACAGCTGCTGGACTTGGGGGTTGTTCATCAGATTGGAAGCCTGGGGAAGAACCAGTCGTCAGGGTGGCTGCCGGCGTGTGGTGGCCAACACCTCCCTGCGAGCCACCCCCCACGCTCTCCCCACCACGCGTCTCCCCACTGTGATTGGCCTGGGGCCTTGCTTTAAGGCTCTGGGCACCTCGTCGCTTCTGGGGGCCACTAGGATTCACCCGGTAGACAGACTCTGTCTTGGCCACTGAGCGTGACAGGAGAGCCAGGCCGGCCCCCGCCCCACAATGAATGACGCGGCACGGGGACTTGGTGCAGTCACCTCCCCACTAGGACATCTCCTCAGGCCCCAGGCAGAGCGGACGGGTAGGAACGGCAGGGCCGCCTAATACCCGCAAGGAGTTGGCACTCGGCCACCCTCTGGCCCAACCCCGCAGTGCTGGAGCCATTGTGGACACGCAGATGCACGGCCCGGCAGTGCCGGCAGCGGCTGACCCGGGGGGCGAGGTCGAAGGCGTGACTGACGCCCCCTGGAGAGACCGTGTCCATCTGCCCTGTGCTTTTGCCCTGTGCTTTTGCGGAGGCCTAGGCCTGCAATGAAGGCGCGACCCCGGCCCCCTAGGAGGTGACACGCTCCTTGCTGCAGTGAGGATGTGATGTGAGCACAGCGGGTTCCGCTGTGTTCTCCTCCTGACAGTTTGAGACCCTGTGCCCGAGGCCCCGTGCGCCAGCAGCGCAGCCTCAGGCAGAGTGCGGCCACCCAGGAAGACCTGGGCACGCGTGTGCACAGGGGCTGCTCTCAAAGGATGGGCGCCTCTGAGCTTCAGCCTCTGGCACTGGAAGGCTGCTCTCCCGCCTCGGGGCCACACGCGTGCCACTGTCTCTTCTTAACCTAGGGCAACAGATGTGGCCTTATTACTGCCACTGTCCCCTGCAAGGAAACCAGGCTGGGGGAGGGGATGGGGCCTTCTCGGGTCATTCAGTTGGGAGACAGGACTGGGATGTTTGTCCTCTGTGCTCGATACTGGCGGATGGGAGGGGGGGTGTCTCACTTGGGGCCATTTTGCCCCCAGGGGACTCGCGAGATCTGGGACATCTGTGGTTGTCACTCTGGAGCTGTTCCTAGCATCAAGTAGGTGGGAGTGAGGCATTCAGGTCAGCCCCCGGCAGTACCAGGATGCCCCCACAGAGGGACCCGGCCCGTGTCTGCGGGGCCGCGTCGGTGGCCCTGGCATGTGACAGGCCCGGCGGTGGCGGGGACACGCACCATGCTCATGAAGCTGGGGTTGTTCAGCAAGCCTGCGATGTCGAAGCTGCCGGCCCCGCCCGTCTGTGGGGATAAGGAAAGTGCCAGTGAGTGGCACTGAACACAGGACTGTGACACTGACACTGAGAACCAAGCCGTACGCCCGCGGGGCCGTCTGGAGCTCAGACAGACAGTCTCAGCCTGGGCGGCGGGCTCTGTGCACGAACCCGCTGCCCATCACCTGGGACGAGCAGTGTGAGCCCACCCTTCGTTTTCCAATGCTGACTCCTGGGCCTTGTGGACCCTGGAGGGACAGCCCCACCCCGGGTGACCAACTCCTAGGGATGGTCACCAACTGGTCCAGGAGTGCACCTTCCAAATGCAAAACAGTCAACCCCGAGCCCACCCTAGCCCTGCCTCCGAGGCTCACATGCCCCGGGCCCGTCCCTCTGCACTGGTCACCGCAGGCCAGTTGCCAGACTTCTGGGGTCAGCCCCGTCCCAGAGCCCCTGGGGTTGAACACGCCAGCCAGCCCTAGACCTCCCCTGCTTTTCAGTGGCCACGAATAACAGCTCTAGACCCCTCACCTCCTGCCCACTGTGGCACTTCCCCGTGTGGCCCCAAGTGTCGGCCTGGTTTGTGCCCTGCCTCTCCACCAGAAGCACAGCCCTCATTCCCAGGGGTGACTCACGGGACTGGGCGCCTCCCTCAGCTTCAGCTCCGCTATCTTGAGGTTGGACTTGTACGTCTCGTTGTCGGGGTCCAGCTCCAGGGCCTTCTTGTAGTAGACCACGGCCTCTGTGTGCTTGTTCAAGCTGGACAGCGCCAGGCTGGGGGGAGGCCAGGGACGTGGGGAGGGGACCCAAGAGCTGTGTGCCCCTCACCCCCACACTGTCTCTGTGTCCACACCCTCGTCCTACATGTGGGCTCGGCGGAGGGGACAGAAGAGGGGGCCGGGGAGGGGCTGAGAAGACGGGCAATGAAGAGAATGCAGACGCTCAGGAACTGGGGCCTTGGTGGGACCAGCACCAAGGGCTCTGAAGGCCCAAAGGTGGGTGCTCGAGGTGGCGGAGGGGGGGACGCAGATAGAAGTGTGTGTGTTTGGTCCTTGTCCCTGTTCCTGGCACAGAGCTACGACAATCCTCCAACTTCCTGAGTCACAGGTATGTCCTTTGACAATTTTAACAACCCCCTTTGATCACACCTAGAGGGTGATGCAGCCACGTGCAAGGAGGGCGGTACGCCCCGACTCCACAGGGACCGAGTCCCTGCTCCCAGGACCCCTCTGCACACTGCCCATGTGTCTCTTCGTCTGTCCTTTCTACCAAGCTGGTGAACGTGACACAGTGTTCC